AAGAACAACAGACAGCATATCAGTCAATCACAGAAAATTTCAAATGATATCACTTGCCAACCATCAATCATCAGCTGACAGCCTAAGAACACCGTACGCCGAAGGTGTGCAGAGGCAACGTAGTGTTTGTTCGCCCGGTCGTTTACTACATACAAGCTGCACGACGACCTCGAGTAAACGACGGAGTAGGAACATGTACAATAAGAACAGACATCTAGTTCCACAACGACGACATTGAGGCGTTGGTCAGCGGTCATCGCTCCGAGCGCTGTAAACAGTCAGCGCCCTTCAACAGACCAGGGCCGAGTTAGCTGTCAAAAGGTCCGTCATAGAAAACACGGATCAAGTCGGTCAGAAGCGTCGTCTGTTCCTCGCTATGTTACCATATTGAACCGCATTTTGAGGACAGTCGATTTCGGTAGCAAATAATCTTCACCGTCATCGCTGTCGTCGTTCACCTTCGAATCGCGCTTTTCGTCCTCCTGGTCCTCGTCCTCCGCGTGGTTGGCAGACTGTAGTTTCGGCGCGACGAGAATCGGGGTCGGGTCGACGATGACCGCCGACTTGCTCTCGTCCTTGTCATCGGTGACGTGCTCGTCGCAAAGGTCAGGTGACACACTGGTGCTGCCTGAGGTAATGACCCCAGAAGGCATCAGGCCCCGTTCCGACTCGTGTTTCTTCAGGTGGCGGTCGAGGTTAGTCTGCTGTCCGAAGCAACGGTCGCAAAGAGGGCATTTGAACGGCTTTTCGCGGTTGTGGATGTTGCGCACGTGACGCTGCAGGTTGGACGAAATGCTGAAACACCTCTCACAGTACTGACACTTGTACGGCTGTTCCCCGGTGTGCGTCCGCAGGTGGCGGGTCAGGTTCGCGGAGCGCGGGAAACGCTTGCCGCAAAACTTACACGTGTACCCATCCTTCATCTTCAGGTGGGTGATGCCACCGGCGTGGCCGAACGTCGAAAGTGGGTTAATGCCAATGGCGGCGTTGTTTGGAAACAGAGGCGGCACAAACGTCAGAGACCGCAGCACGTCGTGCGGAGGGTTCCTCAACAGATTAGAGTAGGCGAAGAACGGATTAGCGAACATCGACAGCTGACTCCGCGCCAGATCCGGGTACGAAAACGGCGCTTTGGGCATCTGGTGGTGGTAAGGCGCCGCAGCCGGACTTGGCGAGCATCTGGCCACCACGGCCGCCGTTGCCTCGCTGCAGGAGACGGCCCTCTTCGCCGGCGCGTCGCCTTCCGTCTTCTCGCTCAAGATACCCCTGACGTCGAACAGACATGCCTTCTTGGCGGCTGGACCGTTCGAAAGCTTTTTCGACGGAAGTCTCAGGTCCAAGGGCGCCAGCGATTCGCCTCCGTCAGCCTCCGATTGCCCGGAGCCCATGTCCGTCGTCGCAGTCGCCGCCGCGTGTTTCGCGAAGGACGTCAAATGATTGACAACGACTCGCTCCGCAGCGTTGCTGTAGAGGAAACTGTTCAGACAGTGGCCATTGGTCGAGACGACCGGTTCCGTTGTCATTGAGGAGAAGAAACAGTCGCAATGGTCGGTCGGTCAGTCACTTCAACCTCTGTAGCTAGCTGGCAATCAATCAACGAACTGGA